AAGACTGCACACGAGACCTTTAGCTCCATCAGTGTCCTTGATCTTTGGTCCTAAGGGAAAAGTACCATCTAGCTCCCTGCTGCTTTTAGGGACCCTTAGCTCACATCCGATGTGATTCGCATTAATGACAGAACTTCCAGCAGCTTGGCTGATTTGACGGCTGCGTAACGGAGGCCAAGGCCCTGGGTGTGTGGTGCACACAGGTCAGCTGCCTGTTCCCAGCAGCCCTGAACACAAACCCCAGCTGGCTGCCTCCTCGTGTTCTGTGAAGAGTAGCAGCAGGCTGGACAGGGGAGGGGTAGCCTTCTTTCCTTACCAGTTTTCATAGAGGGTGCAGAAGAAACGCTGCATTCTTTCCAGGACGGTTTTGTACACTGCAGTGTCGTTGAGTTCCAAGAGGGGCTGAGGTAATCCTACAGAGAAAGACAGGTCAGGAACACACGTGGCAGCAGTCGGTAGACTCGGGGTGTGGGGGGGCTGACAAAACAGAGCAGCTGGTCAAGACCACCAGCTGGAGGCTCTCCGAGATTACTCAGAGAGATATGCTAAGCCTCTTTACAGGGAAAGGGGAATGATCCTAAAATACCCAAGATTTTAAATTAGACCTGGCCAGGGTCTCTCTGAATCTTTCCATAAAGCCCTGGGTGACTGATTGCCCCACCCCACCTTTTAGGTGGGGGAAGCCCATTTCCAAACAATATCTTATGCAAAAGCCGAAGATGTGTAACAAGTTGAAATGAAGCCCCCCACTGCAAGTGCCTTCAGAGATCTGTAGTCTGGTCAGGTCTTGCTCCTAGTTGGACAGTTGCCAGAGAGCATGGTTTGCTTACTGGAGCATGTTCTAAATGGCCACACACTTCAATAGCTGGAGTTTCGGGGGGAGGCAGAGAACAGGATGGTGAAGCAGCATTCACTTTTTACATCCATGGTGACACCTTAGGGTTTCTATTTTTATGGCTTTTAGAAGATGGACCTTCAGTGCAGTGGGGCCAGAGGAAAAGGCCCTGCTGAGGACAGTTAGGGCTCTGGAAAGGCAAACCGATACCCTTCCTTTGGTTACAGTCACAGCCAAGGACTGCTGGCCGAATGCTGGACTCTGGCTAGGTGAGGAACAGACACAGTGGGGCTGTGCTGGTGGGGCGGCCTAAAGCTTTGGGAAGGGGCACTTGGTTAAACAACCCTGGATGTCTTGGGCTCTAACTTCTAGCCACACTCATACTTTGCTGCCAGTGTTTCAACCACAGAGCCACCGCTCCTCTGTAGTCCTAGGACATACTCTTTCCTGCCAAACTCAGATCTCCTTTCTCCTACTCTGCCTACAACGCCAGCACCTCCTCTCGCCCGGCCCGGTGTGGGTCGGCCTTATTCATTCTTCAAGTTTCCCCTGGGAACAACTGGGAAACATGGCTCATCATCTATTCCTGGACAAGTTCTTATTATAAATGAATGATGCCCTGCTACTACTACTGAATGCTTTGATCAAAGAATGTACACAAGAATCCTAATCAAATGGGGGATATGCAGAACAGAAAGGCAGACATTTCAAAATCTCTGGGAATCCAGACTTTCTAAAGCCGCTGAGACTGGATAAACTTGAAATTACTGCCCAGAGATAATTTTCAAATAAAAAACATCTCCTGGAGTCACTTCTACTCTGTCACCAGGGATCAATATGAAAGCAATCAAGTCAATAGCACACAACAACTATTTCAAAGGCAGCCAACTTTGGGAAGCACAAACTAAAAAGCAAGGTCATTTAAGTGCCACAATCTTGTTTAAAAAAAAAAAAATCCCCTGAAGTTGGCCGTGAGCACTGTGTTAAGAACCATCTCTCTGGATCACACTGCCAAGAGGGCCTCAAAGGAGAAGACAGCGGGGAACCATCGAAAAGGGAGGCCGAGAATGACTGCACACCAGCCAGAGCAAGGTCCCTGTCACGGAAGTGTGTGGGCACTAAGTGTTCAATTGGCTTATGTTCCACTGTGTAAATTCTTTACAATAAAAAATACAAAGAAAAAGAGAGTAACACTGGTAAAAAATGCTTTTAAAGATTATACAGTTTATTGATTAAGCTTCTTTAAGCTTCATTGTTTTAACACATTTAAAAAAAACTATGTGAAAGGCAGGAAGTTAATGCCCACCAAGTAAAGAGATCGTGGTTTTTTTAACCATCGAATGGCCCTGGCCCCCACCACTACCTAACAGCTTAACAGAAAAGCGAAAAAACCAAACACACTGTCATGTCAACTTAGAGCAACCCTGTAGGATGGGGTAGAACTGCCCTGTGTTTCCGAGACTCGTCTTTCTCTCCAGGAACCACTGGTGGTCTTGAACTGCTGACCTAACCACGGAGGAGTTAATGCAGTTGGGTATACCTGGCTCTGTGAGCCTCTTCTGTGGGCTACGATAATGAAGCAAGCACATTGCCCATGTGGAGACCGTAGGTGCCCCACACGAACAAGGAGGAAGAGACACCCATTAAGCTGAAGCTGCTCAAGGAGCCCCTGGGAGAGAAGGTGAAGAACACCTAGAATTCTTACCTAATATAGCAGACTTTTCTGCTTCAAACATATCCAAAGCCTTTGTGAAAGGCTCTGCCATTTTGGCTAGCATTTCTGGTGCATAGAGAGTATTGTGGGTCCTGAAAGAGACAAGGACGCTCCGTGAACTGCTTGTTGAGAAGGGGAAACAGTGGGTGTTCCCTTTACAATTCAGTGAATCCATTCTAGGACCATGCTACCATGCAGACAAACCTGACCAATACCTTCAACGAGGAAAAGAAAGCACACGCGTTTACATGTCACCCAGCAAAGGAACATCATTGACTAGAAAGAGTACAGTCCGCACCTGAGACCCTAATCCAGACAGCCCAATGCTAGGAAGCAGAGTAACTTTTAACAACTACAATTTGTCATGTTTGCAGTTGATGAACTATGTTTGTATTTGGAGGGAAAGAGATCTGAAACCGTACATAAAATGATCTCTGATAAAATCAGTTCTTCCCAAGAAGGCATCCATAGTGTAAGGTATGACAAAGAGCACACTAGCCATTTGTTTTTATTCTTGAATTAAATGCTGACTGTGGCCTACAGTGATAGATGTGCGTGTGTGTGTGTCTAAGACAGTAAGGTATGATCAATTTCCTTGACATCTGGTATTATATCTCCTCCCTTTCCCGTCCTCAAGGACATGGCACGTGACAGGAGGATGCACACTTCAAATAGCTCAAACGCCAGACTAGCTGTTTATAAGCTGTAACCTCTAATGGTAGTTGGGTTCCTGGACTATCTCAGGAAAACCTGCCTGGCACACAACCTGGTGCTGTCTTCCAGAGTCAGAGGGATTAGGCATCACCTGGCTCTAAAGAAAAGGGCAACCATCACGGAGAAAGTCGCTGATGTCTGATAAATAACGACCCGTGCAGTGAAGGTCTGAACTGAAGGCCGACTTCAGGTTCTCCATTGGCACATACGCACTACAGGGCCTTTTCTAGGCAGGGACAGCATCAACATCTACACCTTCTTCATTCATCAGGTGCCTTGGCACAACAGGTGCTACTAATACTATTTTTAAGGAAGACAAACCTTTCTCTACTGAAAAAATAGCAATTTAAAACTCACAGCTTCAATACATAATTGGCAAGACTGTCAACTTGTACAACACGGTTTAATTCTACTTATAAAAACTGAAACCAGGAATTCTATTCTTGCGTGAATACCCAACACATGCACATAATTATCCAGACATTCACAAGAATGTCCCCAGCAGCACCATTTATAACACGGAAGCACTAGAAGCTGTTCAAAGTCTATCAATACAGAACGCATACAGTATGTCCTCAAGGAGAGTAAACCGAAAGGGCATGCACATCATGGGTCCGGCTCAAAAACACAACGCTGAGCGAAAGAAGCCAGACACCAAGGAGTGTGTGCTTCTGGTCCCCTTGATGTGGAGTCCGCAGACCAGGCAGAAGGAACCTGAGGTGGGCATTCTTGAGGGGCGGTGACTGGGAAGAGGGCTGGGCAAGGTGGTTTCTGAACGTGAGTGCTGGCTACCACGCTGAAAACTCACCTACACACAACTAATGGAGAAAGCGAACCCTAGCAGCTCCAGCTGCACACTAAAGAAGATCAACTGCTCAGGAACTATAGCCAACAATTTTGGGTTTAATTGATGCTTAATCAAAAAAACATTGAACTTTTAGAAAAATACCAGTATGATCACTCTATGGCTGTGGTCTCCTAAGCCAAACAGCGATGAAGGCCGTTTCCAGGTCTTCGTCCTCCCTCTGTGGTCTCCCGCTCCAGGACCAGCCGAGGACATGCAGCGAGAGCCTGCGCAGCAGGCAAGCCTTCTGCCCTCACGACTCCATCACTTTCATGTTTCTCTAAGCTACACACATTGTGTTTACAAACAACAACACTCAAACCATATTTATGTATTGAAACCTTTTCTCCTTTTAAAGCAGAACAAAATACTGGTGTCTATGTCAACAGATGTGTATCACCCTGACAACTCTCTCAGGCACTCCACCCAACCACTTTGGTCGAAACTAGCTCAGAACCTTTGACTCCTACACTTCTGGCCAAGAGCTTCTCGGAGACCCGAGTAAAGTGGTTTCTCCAGTTAAGATTCCATCCCTACGTAATAGGGCCAAACGGCACTGGAGCAGAACTTCAACCTCTAACTCAGAAATAGTATGGTGGGATATAAAAGGCACACAAACGCTGCTTCTCTCAGGAAGAATATGAATTTTATACCAAATTGATCTTTCTCTTCAGAAAACATCCCTGCGACAGTACACAGGTCTCATACCACCAAGCCCTCTGAGTACGTTAGCTCAGGTGAACCTCAGCCTTTAATAAGAGCACCTGGGAGTGAAATGTAGATGACGATTTCAGGGCCGAATTGAGGCCCTGATTCTGCATTTCAAAGAGCTTCTCCGTTGACTGCTCAGCCTGGTGGCCCGAGCACTGTACTTTGAGAAGCAAAGACCCAGAAAACTGAAATGAAAGATGGTAACACTCACTCCCCGCCCTTGGCACATTCGGCCGGTGGGCGTTTGGTTCACTTGAGACCAGGACTTCTGGTCTGACGAACTCAGACTGGTGCATCTGAACAGCACCCAAAGAAGCACACTCCTGAAACTAACTGCCAGGCTCCCAGGGAAGGACTCCTTTCATGACGTGAACTTAAAGGCAAATAGAGTTCACACGAGAGCAGGGTCAAAGAGAAGAAAGTGGGAGAAGAGCTTGGAAGAGGCTCAAAATTAAAAACGTCCTTTGGACGAGTTCACATACATGGAATTCAAGGCTTGTACAAGTGAGAGCTGATGCTATTTCTAAAAGGAGCTCACTTCTGGGAAAAAGCAAGATCTACTCCCCCATTATTACCCACTATGATCGGAAAGCAGACACAGCAGATAAAAACCATTACTCTGACTCACCTGATAAGGGCAAGCAAATTGTCAAGAAGTTTCAGAATTTGCTCTGTGCAGGGGTTCCGGAAGATTGGATTTCCACTGGGTGTATAACCCACCACAAACCCCCCAGCTTTGGCCTCTTCTAAGTCGCTGGGCCAGCAAGTTCGCTTTATGACGCCCAGAATGCTATACACACAAAAACGCATCTGAGAAAAATGGTAAAATAAAAGGTAAGCACAAAAGGAGAGATGGAAGACGAACTGCTATCAGATCTATTCGGGGCAATGGCAACGGCAACGAGGAGGTGGAGGGAAGGAAAGAGCCCTCCACCTCCACCCTCTTTGGGTCCAAGTCCCTAAGGGAGAGGTCCCGCTCACAACACGACCTTGTCACCAGGTGGCAGTACGCTGATCTTCTTGAAGGAGGCGTGGTTGGGCCCTTGCTGTCGTTGAGGAGGTATCATTGAGTCAAATCGATCTTGGACGAGATGGCTTAGCCACCCTGCACCCTCTAGCTATGCTCCTAAGACCCCTGTCCCCACTGCCCAATGCTCTTTGCAACGGACCTAGTGGTTGCTGGTTAACTAATGTGACTTTTGGTATAATGGAGGCAGGAACAAAGTTTATTTGAGCAGCGAAGAACCACAAAATATCAGTTTGCAGGACTTAAAATGCCAGAGAGCAATGGATTCCACCCTGGTAACAAATCTCTGACCTATTTCCCTATTACACTTTCATTCTTAAGCGCATTCTAGAGATCTGAAACAGAAGCCCCGTTAAGCCCTCAGCTGCTAACCGACAGGTTGGTGGTTTGAATCCACCCAGCAGCCCTGGGAGAGACAGACTGGGTGAAGTGCTTCAGTCAGTAGATTACAGTCAAGAAAATCCTATGGCACGGCTCGACTCCATGAGTTAGAAATTTGACTTAATGGTACCTTAGAAACAGCAACGCCAAAATACGAGGGGGTACCCCCCAAGACAAAAAACAAAACAAAATCCTGATAAAATCTCTGCTGGGTGAAGCTTTTGTAGTACGCATCGTGCCCGCTGAGGGAGCATGGAGCAACTTGCTGAGTCAGCACACCCAGCGGCGTCGGCTGGCAAGGCTCTTTGCGCTCACGTGAGTTTTTCCTAAAAGCAGTTGTGTTCCAACCTCGGGTTTTTTGTGTGTGATGGACCATTTACGAGACCAGTGTGCAGCTGTGAAATTCTGTTTGACGATGTAGAAGAGGTGAAGAAAAAAACGAGGGAGGTGCTGTCAGCCATCCAGACAGATGAATTTGAAAAATGTTTCCAGGAATGGAATCGCAGATATGACAAAAGCATTAAGTGTAATGGAGAGGCCTTTGAAAGGGATAAATGTTATGTAAAAAAATTTAAATACACAGATTTGTTAAAAAAAATCCTTTTTTTGGAGGGGGTACTCCCTCGCGAATGCCTTCACAAACAACATCATTCACTCTGTGGTGGGAACCAGCTCGATAATTCTAGTCCAAAGAAGGAAAATACGCAGCTTAGGGACGTGGGCGCCCGGCCTTCTCTCAGCAGTAGAGAAAAACAAACCCACGGGAAACAGGACAAACACTCATCAAAGGAGCCGCCCCGCCCGGAGGGGCCCACTCACCCGAGCTCGGTTCAGGCCACAGGGATCCTCCAGGTCCGGGTCACAGCTTTTCCGATCCGCACCCACATAGGCGAGAAAGGCGTCAACGTCTGCCAGCACTCTGAAGGTTGGGCGGGGAGGCAAGTTCTACCTGAAGGCTGAGCGTTGAGGGAGGACAACTTCCCATGCCCCTCTGGCCCAGAGGAGGGTTGTGACAGTCAGAGAAGGTCACACAGAGTGCCAGCTGTCTTTTGAAAGCTTCAGCTTCCGGGCTCTACGACCGAATGTTAGTAGCAGCACTCTAAGAATTCGAAAGATTCTGTGCTCGAGAAAGCAGAAGACAACTGGCACACTACAGCCGTGATTTGTTCCCCGTCTCACGAACATACTCATTCCCTCTCTGCTACACTTCTGGGCAGCAGTGGCACTTTCAGAGTGTAAATGACAGAGAACATCGGGAATCGGGAATAGCAGAACCACAGCTTAATATCCTCACACCGCCCCAGCACTGCCCGGGCCTGGCTCATGAACAGACTGGGGGGCTGGAGTGCACCAGAGGGCCCGGTCTGGGGGAGTCTCCTCTACCTGTGCATGTCTTCAGAGAGCCAGATATTGGCCACTGGCGCCATCAGCTCCTCTAAGAAGGCCTTCTGCCGCTCATAGTTCTTGAACTGGTTGCTAACAAGCACAAGGGCTTCCATGAGGGCACACTTCTCCATCTGCGTCAGGAGCAGCTCGTTGGAGAGGAGTTGCTTCACGTGGTTATAAAGCATGTCAAAATTGGGCTGCAGATCAGAGAGGAGAGAGGCAGGGTTGGTGACGGACGAATGGACAGGAGGGCCAGGCCCGCCGAGGAAGTGGAGAGCATCGGCATGTTCCCAGGAAGGAGGTCGTCACCATGTAATGGAGTCACAGCACGCTTCTCAAGTGTGGTGATTAGGAAGGCCATTTGGACAGAAGGTGGCCACTGTCTGGAGCACCTGGGTGACCACATCTCACCGTACAATTGTGGCAACAATGACCTTGTTCAACGTTAGCTTTTCAAGGTCCCTTTACAGGCAAGAACTATTTATTTTCTATTTATGCAGCGACAAACACCTTCTGTGCACTCAGCATGGGGATTTCTGGCTAATTTGTAGTCTGTCAGAATGTAAAATTTCGTACCGAAATCCCCAAACCAGGCGGGTCTGGTTTCTCTCCAAGTTAGGCGGTAAAAAACGTGACAACCCCACTAAAGATCTGCACGTTCACAGGGAAAGCCAGCTACCTCGTAGAGAAGCGCTCGCTTAGAAGGGAGAGGTGCATCTGCGTGCTTCAGCTGCACTACACAAGGGAGAGAGGCAAAGAGCTCACTGCGAGGAGGCCCGTCTGGCTGGGGAGCTGTCATGAGGGCTGGGCGGAAGGAGAAAGAGAACCAAAGTGGACAGGCCTCAGTGGCTGCTGAGCCAGGCTCCAGGCACTCACCAGCACCAGCTGGGGGTAGTCACGGCACACCTTGATGATGGAGGAGCAGGCGTGCCTCCGCACATTCCTCACTGCCCGCGTTCTCGGGGGCTGCAGAGGGGGGGCAACAAAGACACGGTCACTTTAAAAACTAACCGATGGGTGCTGCCTAGAACCACGCACGTACTTCCTTCAGAGACACGGTCACATCGAAGCTTCACAAAGGTAAAGCGTTGAACAGACTGACATTCAGTCGCCACTGGCCCACACAGTTCCATTTTGGGCAAAGTAGGTAACATTTTTACATGAATCCACATCCCAAGAGCTGTGGCTTAATTCTCATTAAGTGCTCTTAGGAGTGCAGCCCCCGCAAGGCAGAGAAAACCACCAAAAGAGGAGCATCAGCAGTGAGGCCGCTGCACTGTGACAGCCAAAGCACAGCGGCAGAGGCTTGTTGTGCACCGAGTGAAGCGCCTACCGTTTCTGACCATCCAGTGCCAAATGCTCCCCCTCCCCCAAACACCCAGAGGAAGGGTCAGGCTCTCAAGTTAGACTCTTGATGGGAATCATGATCTTACCTTACTTTCTTCGACAGTTTCAAAAGTGACAGCTGAAAACAGCTATGGGGAAGGAAGAAAGGGCAGACCATCAGACCCAAGGGCAGTTGTGATTTTTCAGCAGTAGCTACCCAATTTGCAACAGAAGCCCCGAAAGGGCATTCTTGTTAACAACATGGCAACACAAAGGGCGTTCCCTGAGTGCACACAGCTTCAGACGCTCATGGGGGCAGGTGTTTTACAAGACGCTGGAGACTCACAAAGCTGTCGTCACAGTTTAGAAAGAAGGTCACAGAATCCCACAACAAGCCACATCCTCCTCTGACTCTCGGCTACGGTGATGCCTGCCTCCCCTCCACTTTTCATCAAAAGAACCATCTACTCTCTCTGATCCCATCTTCAAGCCTCCCATTCAGTCCTTAGCAACGCAGTTTTTGCCCTGGCCACATGAAGCAGCACAGCTCAGCGTGGAACTCATGGAAGGAAGACATCTCCCAGGTCTGTGTGAAGAGGCTCTCTGCTGCAACTGAGAAGCCCCTGGCCTCTGATGCCGCACTGTGCAGTTCTCTGACCAGCCCTCTCTCGTTCCTTTGGGGCACTGCACCCTTCCTCCTGCCCCCAGTGCTCAATGGGGACCTGCATGGCTCCCTGTCCAATCTATCGCCACTCCTGACATACCCCTTTCTGGCTGCTACTACTGCTGGTGCCGATGCACCATCACTGCATCTCACCACGTCCTCCAGTCCAGGCCTGCGTTGCAGCATGGTGATCATGCTACACCTGCTCTACACAGTACTTCTGACCCAAGGCACCCTCTTCTCTTCCTTGCCCTTGTTCTGCCTCCTGAGCCAGGACTCTCATGCAGGTGGTGGCCACACCACGCTCCTATGCCACACAAGCTAGAAACTGGAAAACTGCCATACCATCCTTCCACTCACAAGTCCCCTCCCAAACTGACAGGGGACCCCGATCCTCTCAACACCTGATCTTCTCCAGAGCACTCCCCGCTGCCTGGCACGCCAACATGCTTATTGATGCTCCTCCCTAGACGTTCTAGTTCCACGAGGCAGCCCTAACTCGTTGCCGCCACCTTCCACCGAGCCTGGCATGCCCAGTGCTCAATGAACACTTGCTGCCTGGATGAGGAGCTTAATCAAGCCCCAAGGCCAAGCCCAGCTGACTTCTCTCCCGCCCACTCCTGGAGGGCTCCATCACCCAGCGTGGGCCGCCTGCGCGTTTGCTTTAGGACAGCACGGAGGGAGTGCAATCGCAGCACCCCATCCCAGTTCAGAACCCACTCCACAGGCTCATGTCAAACCCACTCCGTATACGAACTCCTCCGTGGCCCAAAGGAAGTTTTGAAGGTACTTTCCCCCCAAATCAGGACCGTCAAGGCTGACAGTTGTCACATCTCTTCAGTGTTTTTAATCTCCGACAGCCGTCTGCTGTGTCTCCCATGACGCTGGCTTTTGGAAAAGCCTATGCCGATTCTCTTGTAAAAGGCCCACCTTCCGAAGCTGGCTCCTCTTGGTAACATTTTTCTTGTTCCACTGGCTTCTTGTGTTCTACCCCCACCAAACTCCTGCAGGCACGCCCACCCCCCACAGACGGCCACATCTTCTCCACTCTGGTCACTGCAATTTGGCTCAGGAATTGTCTCTCGTAAAAAACGCTTCTCCCTTCCCGGCACACAGGTTCGGTAATTGCAATGCCATGTGGGAATGGCATCTGTCCATATGCCTTTGATCTCAGAGTTGTCTCTAAAGGGCAAAACGTGCCCCACATCCGGACCCAGAGTAAGCCGCATGACTAACACGACCGTCAGTGTTTACCAGCCTGCCCCCCCCCCCCCCTTTCAACAGCAGCGAAGGCATTCCTTTGCTTAGAAAAGCCGGATCGCGTGTACGGAGGAGGTGGAGTTTACCTTGGAGAAGACCTGGGGCAGGAACTCTGGTCTGTAGGTGACAAAGGGAAAGAGGGCTGAGACATTGGTGAGGACACAGGACAGGATGAGGGGGTCCTTGGTGTCACAGTTGAGGACCATCTGCAGCAGCTCTATGCCTTCAGTCACAGGAACTTCCTGCAAACAGGCGGGAGAGGGGGCTGCCCAGCTGCCACCACGCAGCGCGCTGCCCACGTCCGTCTAATTAGATTCCTTTTGATGGTAAATACGTAATCGCATGGTCATCTATGGTACGTGCGGTTTTAGATGCTACCTTTTAATCTTTACCATGCAAATTGTAGCCCACTGTTGAAAATTCTCATCAACAGTGCTGCCAAGTGCCATACTAGGGATGTGGCCTTCTCTGCTCCGGCACTGGGGACATTTCCAGGGCTTTACACTGGCAATAACGCTGATACTCATACACCTTTTTTGGGGGGCAGGGGGGAGATATGGGGAGGAGTAGCTCCGACATTTTCACTTATGCCATTTGGCTGAGAATCACAAACTTTGGAGATGACGGGATTTAATGGGCCCAAAGTCATGAATTTCTAAGTCAAGTTGCTTTTCTGCTCTAACAGGCTGTGAACCCTCTGCCCACCTGTGCCCCGCCCCACCCACCTGTGCCCTGGCCCGCCCAAGCTCAGTGACAGTCACTATCAATCCCGAAAATCTTCACATATTGAGTAGGTTAAAATCGAGCTTATTTAACAAGCATTTATTTGATTACAAACAAAGATGTATCTCCTCCCTGTTTCTGTACCAGTTTAGTTTCTCTTCTACAAACGATCTGATCAGGTCCTTTGACTACTTTTCCAATGGGCTCTTTCTAGTGCTTAAGTAACGAACTACGTGAATAGCAAGTCAGTCAATGTGCTATCCGCGTGAAAAAACACACTATGCGTTCCTTATTTTAATAAGGCCATAGAGACTGCTTTTACCCACCCCAGCATACACCAAAATATCACCCCACAGTGTGCTATGATAACCATTATCTTAGTCAGATTAAAATGCTAAGCTGGTAAACACTGTTACCCAAATACTGTAGCTACAATAAAAGCTACCTAATAAGAGAAAGGTATGGAACGTATGAAAAACAAAAACAGAAAACAAGAGGTACGGACTGAGCATTACTGGAAGAGGAGAAGGATACTTAACTACTCTGGTACTTACAGAGCTCTGACGTTTTTTTCAATGTTAGATTTCCATCACTGTCTTCCCAGCACAAGCTACCTTACTGGAGGAGTCTGCTGACTACCAGGCTCACATTACCACCTTAAACCTGGGTGCCAGATGAGTTAGAGAGATACAAGGTAGACCTGGGTTATCTGAACTTCAGTATGTTTTCAACCACTCAGAGGCTCGGTTTCCTTTTCTGTAAAGTCTTGCATTAGTAGGTTTTTCTATTCTCCTGCCAACTTAAAAAACAGAAAACCACAACCTTTATGCCATCAGCAGGAAGAAGAGTTACTTACCTCTTTCTCTAGGGTTCGAAACATCTGGTTGACCACACATTCCAAAAAGAAGGTCATGGCTTCCCACTGCACGAATGAGGGGGAGAAGATGGAGCAGAGGCTGCCCTCTCCGGTGCCGGCTGTGGGAGAACAGGGTTTCAACACACACACACACACACACACACTCTCTCTCTCTCTCTCTCTCTCTGCAGCATCACAGAGCAGAGAGACAGGAGGGCCGTAGAGACCACTTGGCAATTTCACAGTTGAAGTAATAGGGTAATTTAGCTTCTTTCATTCCAGCAAAAAGACAAATACAAAGATCCTGTGTGCTGAAGACAGAAGAGGTCCTTATCCAGCCTCCACCACTAAACACCAATTGCCTGAATTCACCCGAGGGCCTTGTCTGTGAAACCATGGTGAGAAATGAATGTCTGTAAGCATCAAAACCAAGCACTCGATAAATACTAATTTATCCACTGTTGTCCCTCTTTATACTCACCTACAGAAATCTGGTGGTGCCATGGTTACTGTCCGGGTGCTAACTGAAAGGTGGGCAGCGTGAGGGCACACAGTGGTTCTGCAGGAAATGACCTGGAGATCTGCTCCCCTGGACTGCAGCCTACAACACCCCCACTCTCACCCCCGACCCCCCACGGGGCAGCACTACATATGCAGGGGAGCTGGACTCAAGGGGGCCTAATAGGAAACTAAAAGGCCTTCCAACAAGAAACTGGTACAAGATACAGACGGCTGCTGCATGTCCAGTAGCATCCTGGCCCTGGGAAGACTGTTATCAGCAACTGTGTCATCCTCCAAGGTCACAAATGCCACCGGAGCCTAAGACGCCAACAACACAGGCAAAATGGTTCACAAACTGCTGTTCTTGCTTCATGTGACACTGCCATTCACTAGCTCCTCAAAGGCACAACACAACCGTGCCTCCACAAAATGTCACATTGCTAGACGTCTGGGGACTTCCGAGTCCACTGTGAGCATTCAGAACTACTGAGTGCAAATCTCCTGGTGTCCAGTAACTATGCACTGGAAAACTCACACTCTCCTCCACCACCCACAGCACGGGACACGAAGACAACAGAGCAGACACCTGGCTTACCCAAGTGGGCAGAGGGGACTACTGGGACTTTTCCAAAAAGCAGCCTTTCCCAAAGGCCTTAAGCTGATTTAGAAGTAGCTGTACTGCTCTGCTTGGCTGATAAGGGATTCTTCCTGAGCTTCCTGTGCAAGAACTTGGTTGAAAAGCTCAAAAACGTTAAATTGAAATCGGTCAAGATGGTGACTGGAGTAAAGTAATAAAACCAACAACAAAGAATTGATTCTGCTGGAAAACAACACCGCAAGGCAAACATTTACCGTTCGTGGGCCCAGCATCCACCGAGGTTGAGAGCTGGTACTTCAGCCACTCCCCAGCCATCTGGAAACTAGTCTTGGGATCCAAACGACATGCCAACCTCATCACCTCTCCTTGTTGGGCCCGGGAGGCTGCCAAGCAAAGGATGTACATCAATAGGTGGAATACATCAGGGGCTTAATGTTTGAATCTCATTCCAGAGGGAGATGTCACAGAAACAGTCCTGTCGACCTGCGCTTGGAACATACTAGATGCGCAATGGAGCTTTGCTGAGTTAAAAAACTCAGAATTAAAAAAGCAAGCAAGCAAGCAAATAAACTACCTATAAACTCCCTTCCCAGCTCAAGCCTGTAAGTGGCAAATTAATATTGCCCTTAGCTCCATTCTGATGGAGTGAAAAGGAAGGAAGGTTGAGAGGAAGAGAAAATGGGGG